AGAGGACGCGGTGGGGGAGCCTCGGCTAGGGCTTCCGCAGACTGCGGCGCCTTAGGCGGTGCAGGTGCCTTGGCCGCGGGGGCGGGCCCCTGCGCAGCACTCCCATCCATTGACGCAGGTTCACCGTCGCGCGCTTCACCTGCTGCTGCTGCCTCCCCTTGTCCTCCGAGTCGGTCGGCGGCGCTTGGTCGCCGCGCGGGCCTTGAAGTCGTCGAACTCCTTCCTGCGAGTGCCCAGCTGCGCGGCAGCTGGGCTAACTGCCTGGCTGATGAGTTGCTTGATATCCTTCGCCAGGGTGTTCTTGTGATTCTGCAAGGCAGGGGGCAGTTCGAGTTCGGAGAAGTCGAGAGCGTCTCTGTCCTCCAACTCGAACACCTTGTCGAGGTCGCTGTCCTCCGCCAGGAGGTCTGAGAGATTGAGCTTGGACTTGCCGTCCTTGGCGTTCTCGCCTTGCTGCTGCTGCTGCTGCTGCTGCTGCTGCTGCTGCTGCTGCTTGAAGCGCTTGAGATCGCTCTCCAGCTGGTGTCCATGAGCCAGACGCGCGTCGGCTGCATCCTGCGCCACAGTCTGGACGGTCTCGCGTGCTCGTGCCAGCCACTGGAGACAGTCTCGTTCATGAGCAAGGGCCTTCTCGAGCGCCTCATCTGCCATGCGCGCTGCCACTGCCAACCGTTGTGCTTCCCGCTCTCGCTCGAAGTTGGGGTTCGCGACTGGCTGCTGTGGCTGGGCGGAACGAGCTGTTTGTTTGATGGCTTTGAAGTGCGAGGTGGCTTGAGGTACGCGTCGGAGAAGCGCCTCAGCCAGCTGGTCCGTGGTGGGTGCGAAAGGATGCATGGAACCGTTGGCGAGAATAGTTGTGCCGCTGCCTGAAGATCATTGACCAGGCGGCTGGCGGAACGGGCTGACCTGCTTGTTGGGCGCCGCGGCATTGCCCAGCGTGGGAAGTCCGTGGTTCCAAACACCTGCGTTTGTCTGTGGGGGATGACCGCCGACGGGACGCAGTACACCACTGCACTGCCAGCACTGAGTATGCTTCTTCCAGTCCCGCTTGTAATGACAGCCGCCGTGGGGACAAGACACATAGCCATGCGCACCCGCATACAGTGTCTTCCATTTTGCCCGTGGCCGTGAATGAAGGATGGATGCTGCACCGCCTGGGCAGGCTGACGCAGAGGAGCGTTGAATTGGTTGATCTAGCCGCGGACTAGCGGTATGCAAGTGTTCCCCTGTGGAACAAAGCATCTTGAGCTAAAATGGCTACGGAGGATGAGGAAGAGGAGGAGGAGGATGAGGAGAGTGAGAATGGGAGGTGGAGGAGAAGGAGGAAAATCACGAACGCCGTCACCGCCGCAGAGGCCGCCGAGGCCGAGGCCGCCGAGGACGACGGCGACGACGACGACGACGACGACGTCGACGTCGACGACGACGACCGCGCCTTGCGCAATGAGCTCCGCGGTTGCCGGCCCCGCCAGCCGCGGCGCGTGGACGGGGGGGCGCCACCTGGAGGTCGCGGCCCTCTCCTATCCGCCTCCTCTCGCAATGCGGGGTGACGATTGATAAAAAATGGGAGGGGGGAACGATTTAACAAAATAGTTTTCTGTTATTTCTGCAGTTTTCTCACTGGCGGAGAACGATTAAAGAAAATAGTTTTCCAGCCTGCGGCCGGTTTTTTCTAATCGTCATCCTGGGCGCCGCCGCGTGAACACGACCCCCGGTCATTTATTAATCGTCATCCTCCATTAAGGGGCGGCGGCAGGGGGGGGAATTGGCTTATGGAAGGGGGGCCAATCGACCTCGAACGCCCGATGCATCGCCCATGTACCGTCGATGCATCGTCGACGTAGGCCGCCGCATGTATCGTCTATTCATCGTCGATGCACTGCCCTGGTACCAACACTGCATCGTCGATGTATCAACCATTCGAGGTCGATGCATTTCCCCCTATGCCTATCCCCCCGATCGTTGTCCCCGATCTCGGCGGCGCGCCAAGGGGGGGGAGGGCAGGACGGGGTCAGCCTTCTCAGAAAGGGGGCAGCAGCGAGAAGGAAGTTTCGGGCTCGAGGTCCGAGATTTTCGGGCGCTTTCGTGGCTTGTGCGCGGTTGTCCTGCCTCGGGGTGCTTCCAGCGGCTCGCCGAAAGCGTTCTGGGAGTTCCTGGTCCGTCCCGAACGACAGCCGGCGACCAGAGTTACGACCCGAAAGCCAGACGACGATGATCACTGAGGTGGCCAGGCTTCTCAGAAGGCGGCGGGGCTTCTCAGAAGCCCAGCACTCCTTCTGAGAGGCCTTCTGAGCTTCCTCCAGAGCCACGGGCACTGCCTCTCGTGAGGCGAGGGGGCCCTTCTGAGACGACCCGCCGCGTTCTGAGGAGGCCGGCCCCCTCTGCCCTCCACCCAGGGCGCGCGGCCGAGGTGGGGCGGCGGGGGAAGGGGGGCAGGCAACTGTTAAGTCAGGCCTGTCCCCCTACAGGGGGATCTTCGACGAAAAATAAAACATACCCC